GAATCAACTAATTCAGACCACTCCTATTTGACAAAAATTAGCATATTACATTATTTCTGAGCCTTACAACCATTATGATTATAAAACATTTTGAAAAATCTTCTGGGGACTGAGCACCGGGCCTTGCATGTGCTAAGCAGGTGCTCTAGCACTGGGTCATTAAACACAGTTATTAAAATATAGTTAAAAAAATAATTAAATGCCAACATTTTGCCTAACAAATTGTCAAAGAAAATCTATTATAACATCAAGTTGGAGTAAGAATTCAAAGAAACTCATTCTTTTCAAGTGATTTCAAATGTAAATTACAACTTTCTGGAGGAATGGCCTTTATAAAATCATTAGTATCTTTACATAAAAGTTTTGATAGTGATACATATAAAAATCTTGAAAAGTATTGATATTTTTATATTAGGAATCCAAATCTTGATGTTCTAGCCTAAAGAAATAAGCAGAAACATATGCGTAATAAGTAACATCAGTCACCACACTTACTAAGTGCATAGATGTCTCAGGCACTCCAGACTACTACTTTACACAATTATCATCTCATTTAGTTCTCAATATCTCTTTGAGGCAGTCCTCCTGCCTCAGCCTTCTGAGTGCTGGGAGTGAAGGCTGCAGGCACATACTACCTTGTCCAGCTCTGAACTCACAATACCCTTAATTTTACAAATGAGAAAAACAGGGGCTGGAGAGATGGCTCAGCGGTTAAGAGCACTGACTGCTCTTGCAGAGGACCTGGGTTCGATTTCCAGTACCCATATGGCAGCTATGAACTGTCCTTAACTACAGTTCCAGGGGAATCCAAAGCCCTCTTCTGACCTCCACGGCAGATGCACTCACGTACATGCAGGAAATATATTCATACACATAAAAATAATAAATAAAATATTTTAAAAAATGGAGAAAAACAAAGGCTTATTTTTATTTTATGTGTATGAGTGTTATGCCTGCATGTGTGTAAGTGCACCCATGTCATGCAGTGTCCAAGGAGGACAGAAGAGGGTGCCAGATCCCCTGGAACTGGAGTTAAGGACAGCTAGCTGCCATGTGGGTACTGGGATTCAAACCTGGGTCTTCTACAAGGACAGCCAGTGCTCTTAACCACTGAGTCATCTCTCCAGCCCCGAAAAACAAAGGCTTTTACAGTAATTTATTTAAGGCAATTGAGACCACAAGTGTGGTAAGGATGGGATTCAAATTCAGATCCACTTGAATTAAAATCCAAGTTTCAGTCACATGATGTTAATTTACCTAAGGAAAAAAAATCTAATAAAAAGTGTAGGACAGTGATAGCTCTAGTTTGGTAATCATATGGAATATTGTTTATAATTGTAAAGAAAAAAAAAAAACCAACCTGGAGCCAACCTAAAACAAAAGGGATTGTTTTTAAGATTTTATTACTTTTAAGTTGTGTGTGTATGTGTCCGTCCCTGTGTATATGAGTGCAGGTGCCCATGGAGGTCAGAGGCACAAGTGTATGTCTGGGAACTGAACTCAGGTCCTCTCCAAGAGCAGCACACACTCTTTTACTGCTGAGCCATCTCTCCATCCCCAGAAGGGATTGTTTACACAAATACTATTCAGCTATTAATTTAATAATATTGAGATGAGCTACAGTCACATTAAAAAAAATATTTCTTTATTCTATGTGCATGGATGTTTTGCCTGTGTATGTAAGTACACTCATGTCATGCAATGCCCACAGAGGCTAGGAGAGGGTGTTGGATGCCCTAGGATTGTTACCTGCCATGTGAACCTGGGTCCCATTAAACCATCTCTCCAACCCTACAGGCACATTTTTTTAAAGTCCACAATACTTTGAGCTTAAAGTAGTATGTCCAATGTGATCTTCAATAAATAATGTGTACATGTATGTGCATGTGTGTGTATATGTCTTAAAAGGAAGTTAAAGCATCTTCCCATTTTCATATTGAGAATGTGGGGCCAAGAGCAGTGGGAGGTAGACCCGAAGCACTGAAGAAGGCATTTCCATCTTATTTTCAACAACAACCTGGAAGACTTTGCATCCTTAGACTGGTTTGGGCCCTCAGGCTTTTGTCAACCTATCATTAGGCAACAATGTGAAAACCATTTGCTAGGAAAGATTTGTAATACTTCTAATATATTTCCAAGACACCTATGTTTTATTATTTTCTCTGTTCTTTAGTTCAGGAAATGGTATTTCCCACCATTCTAAGCAAAGTAGAAAAGTCTAATGTGAATTTATTATTCTGCTAAAGCAGAATTGTTTTTGTAATTTTAAGAGCACATGGATGATCCAGACAGTGAATCATGAATTGGAACAATTTTGAATAAACTGGTATAGACACTTAGTTTTCTATTCCTTAGCCCTCTGCTCATCTAAAACTACCTTGAAAGGCTTCAACAATTTAAAGATTAAATCATAAGTCATTAAGTCATTAATTTAACCATTTAAGCCTCTAAAATCAGCACATATTACCTTCCCCCCTCAAGTCAATTTGCAAGAGATTAAAATAATAAAAATGATAATATCTCACACTCACAAAGCAGCTTTGATCTGCAGAAGCCTAAAGTACTTTTTAAAGACTTTATAGAAAAACTAGGCCCATCCGCCCACATCTCAGTACATCTGAGGTAGGAGCTGGCAGCTGGTGTAAAGCACTGGAGCAATTCGCCATCTGTACCAAGGACTACTACTTTTGAGTGAGTATAGGAGATGATTTAGGGTAATGCAAACAGAACCAGCTTTTCTATTAAGTGGGAAGTTCAATGACTACAGATTCCAAGGGCTATTATTTAAATTTTCACTAAAAGTGGCATAAGGATTGCTTTTCAGAGGGAAACCAGAAACCAGAACGAGGGTCAGGGGGAGGATGGAGAAGAGCTCAGGGGTAGAGTACTTGGCTTAGCCTGAGCCAGGCTCACTCAAAAAGGAAACAACAGAACAGCTACAAAAACAAACAACAAACAAAAAAACAACCCTACCTAGAGGAGTTAGTGGCTCTGTATTCTATCCAGATGTTCCTGGGAAAGACAGACGCTAAGGGTTTCACATCAGAAATACAATAACTTATCATCCTCTGAGCTCCAATTAAGAAAACTGTATGGAATATTAACCCTGATGTTTCAGGGCCAAGGCTCTAGTTCTGCATCCTCCATCCACTGCAAGTACCCAACACAAATTTCTGCCACCTGTGAAAACAAGAGACTAACTTCTCCAGCTTGCATTTGGGGGAGTCTGTCTTTTTAAGTATTCTTCCTCTTCCATCTTTTCTATGTAAAGAAAAACTGAAATATTTCAACCACATCCTTATAGGTAAGTACAAAGAAGCAAAGTCAAAGAAAACACCAAGTAGTCTTCATTAGGTAGCTCTTCAATTCTGGAGAGTATCTTCCCCGATGGCGAGTTTCCCACATCTCTTTAACATACACTTGGTTCACAGGCATAAAAAAAGATCAAGCATGAAAAAAGAAAAGATTTTAAGTAAAAGAATTACTTCAGCTGGATATAAAAAAATTCTTAGCCGAGTGTGGTAGCACACACCTTTAATCCCAGCACTCAGGAGGCAGAGGCAGATGGATCCTCTGTGAGTTCAAGGCCAGCCTGGTCTACAGAGTGAGTTCCAGGCAGCTGGTGCTACAGGGCGACCCTCTTAAAAAATCTCTTGATTCCTGTGCCTGCTGGAAGATATGAGAGCCTAGATTCCAATCCTCCTCCAACCACCTCTGCCACCATGCCTCCCTGCTATGATAGATTCTTGCCCCTTTGGGACCATGCCTGTTTTAAAAAAAAAAAAAAAAAAAATTCTTTACTATATGGGAGTAGGCAAAATGAGAATATCCCCAGCAATACTGGATAACAAATGAAAAGAACACCCATTAAGAGTCATCATTTTTTAAGGGTGGCCACCAGCTATTCTAGAGTCCTTACTTGCCTGAATATAAGTAAAATGGACCAGATGATCTTAATTCTATTCTATGCTGTCTAACTTTGTGTTCAGAGTGATAGAGTAGGAGGGTGACAAACACACTTGGAGAAAGAAAGGATGAGGGACACATTACAAACTCTTTGTTATTACCTAATTTATAACCATCTTTTGTAGGGTTCTTGGGAATATATTGAAATGTTATATACTGTTCTTCCCAAACTATAGCTAACCTAATTGACCCTAACAGTTTGACTTTGTATTTGATCTAGAACTAAAAAACAAAATGAAAACTCTACCTGAACACTCTTTTTTTATGTTTATTATTGTTATCTTATTTTATGTATATGAGTGTATTGCCTGCACATATGTAAGTGCACCTGTGCTGTGCAATGCCCAAAGAGGTCAGAAGAGGGCATCAGATCTCCTGGAACTGGAGCTATGGACAGTTTTTAGCTGTCATGTGGGTGCTTGGAATCTAATCTGGGTTCTCTGCAAAAGCAGTCAGTGCTCTTAACCTTTGAGCCATCTCTCTAGACCCTCTACCTGAACATTCTAAAGTGATCTTTCTTTTAATCAAGTTGATACAAACTAAAGAAATGAAAATTAATGTTGAAGACTAAAACAAAGCATAATTTGGAAGGCAAAGAAACTCTCAATAAAAACGCTTTAAAGTGGGGGCTGGAGAGATGGCTCAGCAGTTAAGAGCACTGACTGCTCTTGCAGAGGATCTGGGTTTGATTCCCAGGACCCATATGGTGGCTATAAACTGTCCTTAACTCCAGTTCCAGGGGAATCTGAAGCTCTCTTCTGACCTCCACGGCACTGCACGACACAGGTGCACTCACATACATGCAGGCGATACACTCATACACATAAAATAAAAATAAAATATTTTAAAAAATGCTTTAAAGTTTAAAAACACAGTCTTACACTCAAATTCTGCTGATAATTTTGTCTTACTTGAAAATAATTGCTACAGGTTTGAACGCATGTGTGGAAAGGTAGCTATGTGTACACATGTATGCATGTATGCACACACCTATCTGAGACTAGAAACTAAAATGAAAGCTACCATCTTGATACCTTCTTCATGGCCTGACACTTGGCTGTCTCAGAAAAGCCAATCATCTTATCAGGAGAGCAGATCTTGATGAAGGGAAAGTTGGATTCCTCTGCAATCTTTGCAGCAAGGGCAGTCTTCCCACTGTGAGGAGGGCCTGCATAAATAGATGAGTGCGTCAGAGAAAAACAGCCAACCTAAGCAAAGGGGAATCAAGCAAGTTTAAACTTTTACCCACAATGTACTGAGGTCTCAACTAGTTGCTCATTAACATTTCCTGACACTGTCATAGCAGACATGTTTCCTTTTATTTATTAGCAACTACACTTTATGAACTGATTAGCATTTCTCAAAAGTATGGTCAAATGCATGACTTCTTGCCTTCTCACACAGCTTTAATTTCTCAACCCTATGACTAAACATAAAACAAGGATTTTGCTTCCTAAAAGAAAGAAAATATATTCAAATGCTTATCAGAACTTGTATTATTAGTTCTATCTAGTCCTGGCTGGCCTGAACTCACTATGTAGACCAGGCTGACCTTGAACTCACAGAGATCCTCCTGCTTCTGTTTCCTGAATTCTGGGATTAAAGGCATGTGCCACCATGTCCCGCTCAAATCTTTTTTTTTTGTAACAAAAAAACAAAAACAAAAACAAAAACACAACAATTTTCTTAGGAGATGATACCAGGGGCAGGGAAAATTACTTTATTAGAAGCAAATGTATTATAAAAAGATAGAATACCAGAGACTTGGTTGTCTCATAAAGGCAGCAAATCCTACAAACTTACCTGCGCTTAGAAAACTCCCCTGCTTCCTTCAGTATATTGGAAGATAGTCCCTCTTCTGATCAGAACCAGTCAATTCTCCCCTACCATCTTCTCTGGAACAGGACATGAGTGACTGCTCCTCTCCCATATGTTCAGTCACTGCCTCTCCCTGTCATATTTCTAACAGCATTTAAATATGTTCTGCCTATGTGACAGCTCCATAAACAAACCAAAGGGGGGACCTCTAGGGAGCAAACTCAGGTCACTGGGCTTGCACCACAAACACCTAAACACCTTTATCCACTGAACCATCTCATTGCCCCTCCTGTCTACTTCTAGCCAACTTTTGTGTTCCTAGCTCATATAGCCCACAATATGGTCTCTTTACATAGAGTATCTTTCCCAATTATTTTGCCTGGCCAACTTTTCCTCATCCTTTACTCTAGCTTAACATGTTTCTCTCAAGACCCTTCACCTCTGGACCTCGGAGGGGTCGAGGTTCCCCTGTTATCTGGTCCACCGAACTTTTCTGATATCGTATCAATCATAAATTAACTGGTTATAAATAGAACATCTTTCTCCTTTGTCATTTGATAAAAATACTAATTGGTCCTTCAGGGTCTAAATTAAGTATCATCTCTAGATTTCTCTGGCAAATCCTGGGCAAAATGACTTACATTCTCTCTTCTCTCTCTCTCTCTCTCTCTCTCTCTCTCTCACACACACACACTTACATGCATATGCTAAAACTAGGAATTTCTTTACAAGTCTTTTTCATGGCTAGACTGACACTCAAATGTCTTTGTATCCACAGAAACTAGTTCAAAGACACTCAGTAAATACTATTTAAATGAATTGAGCTATGTGATGTTATTCAGTCTGTTAAGTACCAGAGAAATTTAGATGCATTCCTGTAAGAAAACCAGTTGCTGTCATTCAACAGAACATTCTACTTTGAAAAAATTTCAATTTGTCCATAATACTGGTACATAGACTGGATTACTGTTTTCAGACCAGGAATAAAGTTTAGAACTGAAAACCATTCACTTTTTTGTAATGTGTTAAGTAGCTTTTTTTTTCCTTTTCTTTCTTTTTATTTCCTTTTTAATTTTTATGGCCATCACTGCTTTTCTCACCTTCCAGAAGGACGCTAACCAGTGGTGTGCGGTCACTGTTTTTAGTCTGCTGGACAAGCAGTTCCCCGTCATCCAGAACTCGGGTAACTGGGTCACCCCACTTGATGATTCCATTCATAATGTAACTTGCATAATCCTCTTGGTTTGTGCCAAATGCCTGTTGAAAAAAGGGACAGTTTAAAGCATTTCAATCATTAGTATTGAAACTAAAATATTTAACCTCTTCTTTTCTCTCGTGTTATGTTGGATCCACTCCTTGTCATGTCTTCTTTTTTACTTATTTATTTTTTAATTTTATTATTTATTTCATTTATTTATTTATTTATTATTTATTTATTTATGGTCTTTTTGAGACAGGGTCTCCCTGTAGCCCACAGCTGGTCTGGATTCCCTATGGAGACTAAGCTGTCTGCCTCTGCCTCCTGAGTACTGGGACTAAAGACTTGCGCCACCATGCCTGGCTTTATGTCTTCTTATATAACATTTTGGATTAAATGATTTCTGGTCAAGAAATAAAAACAAAATTGTCTCATTCCCCACTTGACTGGATGAAAATTGGTAATAAAATCCGGTACAACTCCAAGGAGACTCTGGAGAGGAACCAAGCTGGAGGCTGAGATGTGGCAGAGTGGCAGAGAATTTGTCTAGAGGTGTGAATCCTGGGTTCAATATCCACTGTTGGGGATGGTAGGATGCTGTATCAAGGTCACTAGCTGAAAATATCTTCATTGTCTGGGCAACTAGAAATGTTTATTGGGAACATGATTTTTCTTTTTATTTCTATGCCCTATGCTAGTAAGTTAGCTAAATAATAAATGTGGGAAGCTTTTAGAAAAATAAAAAATTTTAAAGATATGAGACCAAGGAGCTGGAGAGATGGCTCAGTGCTTAAGAACACTGGCTGTTCTTACAGTTTGGTTCCCAGCACATGGAGGCTAATAATCATCCATAACTCCAGTTCTAAGGAATCCAATGCCTCTCTTGGCCTCTGCATGCATTGCATATACAGGTGCACTTACATACATGCAGACAAAACACTCATACACATAATACAAATAAATACAAATTTTAAAAAAGATCTGAGACAAATAATTCCCATATGAGTATTGTACACTATCCAATATTAATACAGAAAAGTCTAAAAATAAAAACAAAGCACCATTTTATAATTCCTAATTTAATTTTCTGGTTATTCAAAACAAAAAGGCTGCTTAGATGATTTAGTAAATTCAAAATAACATTTTAATCTCAGATTCTAATAGATCTGAAATCCTCACAATCCCTGAGAAAAAGAGTATGTTCCAAATGTTTGTTTCTGTGAAGAGTGTGCTGGTTAAGGCCATTCTCTTAAGAACAAAGAGAAAAAGTGATTATGCACTTAGAATGAAAAACAGCATGGTAGACAGAATACTATTCCAACACTGCTTATAGGGCAGTGGATTAAAATAAAAGCTGAAAGCTGGGCGTGATGGTGCACGCCTGTAGTCCCAGCATTGGGGAGGCAGAGGCAGGCGGATCTCTGTGAGTTCAAGGCCAGCCTGGTCTACATAGTGAGTTCCAGGACAGCAGGGTCTACAGGGAGACCCTGCTTCAAAAAGACCAAAAAAAAAAAAAAAAGAAGAGCTGGGTGTGGTGGCACACGATTGCAATTCCAGCACCTGAGAGGCAGAGGCAGAAGGATGCCTACCAATTTGAGGCCAGCCTGTTGATAATGCTCTTGCCCATATCAACTCTTGGCTATAAGTAAATGGCACCAATTTAAGGATATGTGTAAATATATGAGTTACAATGAGTCAGAAATGAGAAGCTCCAAGACTGATGGTTAGGTAAAGGAAATAAAAAAATAAAAAGTCACTGCAAAAATTTACCATACTACACGGTAAAGCTAAAGTCATACCCATCTTCATTCTCAACCTCTGATCTTAAAGACATTCCTATGGGAACAGCTACCAAAACTACTCAATAGTTTTAGTATTTACAATCAAACTCGATTTTCATATTAACAAAACAAACGAGCAGGAACATACAACACATTGCACATTTAAAGCTCATATATCTTGAGAATTTCAACTTCATAAAGTCTTTCACATGCCCCCGAAACTCAACTTCTGCATGGCTTCAGGTGAATAGTTCTTGGGAACTTGCACTTTACAGAAAGTCACCTTTGTAACATTTGCCCAATCCTCATATCTATTACTGTGCCACAAAACCATTTTTTCAGAACACTCTTTAGGTTCTGATATTAGTAGTTTGAATCCTCAGAAGAAAAAAAGTCTTTATTCTCTGGCCTTAATATGGCAAATCCAGGAACCCTGGAAAAAGTTACAAAGGAAGAGCCTCATAAAGACTGGTTGGATTGTTGTTCAAGGAAATCCATAGGTTGGCTGGCTTTTGCCTTTAATTGCTGAAAGTGTATATTCCAAGCCTCACAGAAAAAGCTTTAATGTGCCTAAGTCACAAAAGAGTTGGCTCTCAAAGGCTGTGTTATCCTTATAGCACATCATTTGATTTATTCTCCACATCCTTGGAATAAACAAATGTTCCATTTTTACTTCCTCCTGGCCAAATTATTTATCATTAAAAAGAATTTTTGAGGGGCTAGAGAAATGTCTCAGTGATTAAGAGTGCATACTGCTCTTGCAGAGGACCCCCAGTTCAGTTACCATTACCCATGTTGGGCAGCTTACAGCTACCTGTAACTCCAGCTCCAGGGGCATCTGATACTTGTAGCCTCTCCAGGCACCTGTGCACGTACACACACACACACACACACACACACACACACACACACACACACACACTCACACACACCCCGTAAAAATAATAAAAATACCCATGTGTAGAGGTGTACATCTTTAATCCCAGCACTTAGGAGGCAGAAGCAGGTGGGTCTCTGTGAGTCTGAGACCAACCTGATCTACACAGTGAGTTCAAGGCCAGTCAGGAGTTCTACATAGGAGACCATGTCTCAAAACAACAACAACAACAACAACAACAACAATAAAACCTACACATGAGATTTGTAATATCAGGTAAAATGGCACTTTTTTTCTTGAAGAATAATAGTAATTACTATTTTGGATTATACACACAATATGCATACTCACTGGTTTGATATCATTCTCCAAAGATGCGAAGAAGTCTCCTCTGGTCACCTGGAGGCTCTCTGCTTTCTCCATGTCTACTTCTACTTTAGTACTGGCCTGAGGAGAAATGAAAGCAAAATGTAAGGGCTTCAAACATTCAGCAATATTCCTAGCCTAAGACCATAATAGCTTGAGTAAAATGAATATCCTCACATTAAAAAAATCTCAAATGTCCACAAATCATACATGTTAAAGGGATTAATATCCAGACTATATAGAGAGCTCCTAACATTTAACAACAAAACAAGTATTTTAATAGGTATTTTTCCAAGAGAGACATGCAAACACCCAAAAGCACATGAAAAGATGGATGACACAACTAGTTAGGAAAATGCAAATCAAAACTACAATAAGCCAGTGTGGGGGTGCACTCCAATAATCAAGAGGCAAGGCAAGAAGACCACAAGTTCAAGGCCAGTCTAGGCTACATAACAAGACACTGTTTCAACAAAACAAAAACAGCAACAACAAAAACCACCATGAATTTTCACCTCGTACTCACAGGATGGTTACTACTACAAAAAGCAGACAAACAATCAGAAAGTAAGTACTGACAAGGATATGGAGAAACTGGAAGCCGGTGCACTATTGATAGGAATGTCATATAGTATAGGTGCTGTGGAAAACACAGCAGTCCTCTCCCAAAAAGAAAGTAGAATTGTCTTATGATCTAACATGTAGACCCCGCAGAACCCCAAACTGGGTTTTGAGATTTTACAACGATGGTCACAAGAGCATTATTCACAATAGCTAAGATGAAGAAGTAACCCAAATGCCCATTGACAGATGACTAAGCAAAATGTGGTATATACATACAAGAGAATATTATTGTGCCTTCGAAAAGAAATGTGGTTATGCTATAACATGGATAATCTTCAAAGGCATTATGCTAATGGAAGTAAGCCAGTCACAAAAAGACAAACACCGTATGATTCCACTTAAGTGACATGTTTAAGGTAATCAAAATTCTACAGAAAGTAGAATAGTAGTTAGCATGGGCTAGGGGGTGGGACAAAAGAAGACTGAAGGTTCTATTTTAATAGGTACAAAGTCCCAGTTTTACAAGATTAAAAGAGTTATGGAGTTGGGTGGTAATGATGGCTGCACAACATTGTGAATATATTTAATATCACTAAAATGTACAATTAAGAATAGTTGAGGCTGGAGAGATGGCTCAGTGGTTAAGAGCACTGGCTGCTCTTGGAGAGGACCCATGTTCGATTCCCAGCACCCACATGACAGCTAACAACTGTTCGCAACTCCAGTTCCAGGGGATCCAATGCCTTCTTCTGACCTATGTGGGCACTGCACAACACAGGTATACGTACATACATGCAGGCAATACACTCATACACATTAAAAAATAAAAATAAAGACTAGTTAAGATAGAAGCTGGACATGGTGGTGCAGACCTTCAGTCCCAGCACTCAGAAGGTAGAGGCAGGTGGATCTTTGTGAGTTGGAGGCCAGCTTGGACTCCAAAGTGAGTTTCAGTCCAGCCAGGGCTACACAGTGAGACTCTGTCTTTAAAAAAAATAAAGAGGGGGGCTGGAGAGATGGCTCAGCAGTTAAGAGCACTGACTGCTCCTGTGCCGGACCCAGGTTCGATTTCCAGCATCCACATGGTGGCTACCAGCCGTCCTTAACTCCAGTTCCAGGGGATCCAATGCCCTCTTCTGACCTCTGCGGCATTGCACAACATGGGTACACTCACATACATGCAGGCAATACACTCATACACATAAAATAAAAATAATAAATAAAGCCAGGTATGGTGGGAGACAGTATTAGCAGGAAAGTATCTCCTGCACTTTTGGAAAAAGTTGTCTAAACTTGAATCTAGAACATTTAAAAACTGTCAGCAGTTAAGTCTTCATTGGGCCAAGTATGCATGGAAGCAATTCATTAAGAAAGGAAAAAAACAGCTGGAGAGATGGTTCAGTGGTTAACAGCACTGGCTGCTCTTGCAGAGGACCTGGGTTCAATTCCCAGCACCCACATGGTGGCTAACAACTGTCTGTAACTCTGGTTCTAGGGGATCTGATGCCCTTTTCTGACCTCTGCAGGCATTGCATGACACAGGGACACTCACACACATAAAATAAAAATAATAAATAAAATACTTTTTAAAAAGAAAGGAAAGAAAAAAAGAATGTTTCAGATGGCACATTAGTTATGTGCATTTTAACATAGCAAAAAATTGAGGGGAAAGCAAAAAGCTTATCTCAAATTTCTCAATACAGCATACACATCTACATACACACACCTTTTGTCTGAACAATTCCACATGTGGGAATTGATTCCATAAATATATTCACAAATACGTACAAAGTTACATATAAGAATATCTAGTACAGTAATTTGTAATAGCATACAGGCTGTCTACTGAGTGGAGAGTTAAGGAAGCTATAGCGCATCTGTTCCAATGAACACTGGGTAGCTTTTTCTTTTTCCCTGAGGCATGGAGGTGGTACATGCTTATAGTCTTGGGTACTTGGGGGAATTGCTTGAGCCCAGGAGTTTGGAGCCAGCAGGGGCAATAGAGTGAGACAGTGTCTCAGAATCCCATCCTAGCTACCAGTCAATCAACCAAACCAATAAACAAAAAGACATGACTAAGAAAAAATGCATATAGTACGACAGTGAAAAATACATGCAAAAAAGAAAATATACAGGAGATAATAACAATGGTTTTCAGTCTTGGCTGCATATTAGAATAACCTCCAGGGCCTTTAAAGGCATGCAAGATGCCAACCCCGTCCTCAGGATTTTTATTTAACAGGTCCAGTGGATGGTCCAAGTATCTACAGTTTTATAGTGTCAGGATGATTCTGATACTGAACCAGGTTTAAGAATTATTAATGGCTCGAGGTCACCAAGAATTTAAAACTTTGACTTGTACTCATGCTCTGTGCCGAAGAAGCTACGTGCCAGCTGCAAATTCTCTGTTCACTGCACCTGGAGCAACACTGAGACATCTGGAGAAGCAGCAAGGCCTTTATCAGCACTTGGAGCTGCCTGGACCTGATGAGTGATTAAGATACCAACACATTTTTTTTTTTAATGTGACTGGGCTCACTCCCAATAGCACAAAGCAAGAGTCTCATTTTTAAATTGGTATCATGACTTTTTTTTTTAAAGCATCTTAAAAAAAATACTGACTATAAAACAAAAATGTTAAGCAAATATCAACCTTCCATTGGTAGCATAAAATATGAGCATATTCCTTTAGGAATAGACTGCTGAGACCAAAAATATGACAGATATTTAAAAAGAAAAAGGCAGCCTTGAGGGTTAAAAAGAACTATGTCAGGAAACTGGATCAAGATGGCAAAGAGAACACATATTTATTTCCTTTTCTGACCCAAATCCCAACAAATATCAGTACCAAGAAAGATGAGAAAACATGAAAAGTCTATGTAGCAGCCGAACACTAACCTAGAGAGATGCTGAAGCAGAGAACAAAGACTAATTAATGAGCAAGAAACTATAAAAGAGGGAAAAAATTTCCATCTGCAGTTTAAAGGTTCAACGAGTGATGATCAGGATAAATAGAAATCCAGATCTGTCTAGACATTCTGGTACAAACCTGCTGAGCATCAAAGGCATAGACAAAGTCCTAGAACCTATCTGAGAAACAAAAACAGGTTGCCTGTGAGACTGGAATAAAACTGGGACAGCCTCCTTTGTCACCAGCAATCCTGGAAAGTAGAAGAAAAGGAAAGCAGCACCCACAAACACCTCTGGATACCCAGTCTAGAACCTGACCTGTTATATAAGGAGGCACAGGTGAGCACGGTTCCTAGAGGATTTCTTAACAGCCACAACCAGAAAAAAAAATGTTAAATAAAATATCTACTCATTTGTTCATTATATTAGAGTGCCTTAAGAACTAAAAATAAGGCACTAAATAAAATATACATGTCTGGTTTGCTCAGGCTGATTCAAATTCCTGGGCCCAAGTGGACTTTCTGTCTGAGTCTCAAAAAGGAATTCGCTATCATGCCCAGTCCATGTACCACATATTTTAAATTATGTGGTAGTATTGTAGAATACTGTATATCTGCCCAAGATAATGTATGGCGCTTACAAGTACTAACACAGAATATTAGAAAATGAATAACGTAAATTACAGCATAATTACACTGATGTTCATTTTTTAAAAAGTGCACATGTAAATGAATACAAATAGAAAGAAAACAAATGACAAAGGCATATCCCACATCTTGGTTAACTCTAGAGAGGGGAAGGGAAGAAGTATTAGAGCTTTTCTCATTTTCCATATATATTTGGCATCACTGAATCTTTTACACATAGAATGGGTTCATGTGCTTCTCTGACAGTCTGCTTTGTATTACTATAACTTAATACCTTAGACAGATTGGCTTTATAAAAAAGTTTATTTACCTCATAGTTTGGGATGCTGAAAGCTCAAACAATATAGTCCAGGCTCTGACAAGGGCCCTAGGGTAGAAGGCAAGACCATGTGTAGGAGGAATTCCCTTCTCCAAACAGGAAGCTGGAGAAACTAAGTAGGACCAGTGTACGCTTTTCTAAAAACCTTCTCTTGAGAACGAACCAGGGCCCCAGGAGAAATACCTGTCTCTTCTAAGGGTAGTAGATTTCAAAGCACCCCCACAACACTGTCACTCCTGGGACCAAGTTCCCAATACATATGAATTTGTGGGGAGACAAGCAGCATCAAAACTGTATCAACTTGCATAGTTTTAGACTGCGACAGCAATGGTTCAGTAGACAAGTATTCTTGCGTAGAATTGGCATTTTGATTAACAAGACTTTCATTGGTACATGTTAGGTATTTGATGAATATGAATCACATCTATTTGGCATTTCTAAGGGGTTTCTTACATTTACTCTCTCTCTCTCTCTCTCTCTCTCTCTCTCTCTCACACACACACACACACACACACACACACACACACACACACACACATACACA